CATGACATCAAGACAGCAGAAAGAGAGGTCTTGTGAAGCACAAAAGATGTTTAAGGTACAACAACCAAAAACAAAAAAAAAACAAAGCAACGAGGAATAGTTTTGTTTCGAAGAAAAACACGATGAAGTAAAATTAACAGAATGAAGATAAAGGACAAAACTAAAAATTAATAAGGACAATTAATGGAAGATAGTCACACAATTTCGTAATAACAATTTTTTGAGAACGATGTGGGAAGATAGGAAGGGTTTAATCTCACTTTGTGCAAAACTCTTCGATAGAAACCATACTCGTGATTCTGCCTCGAAATGAATCTTAGCATCTCGCAATGGTCAAGTTACGCAAAATGATCAAATAAAACTATCTCAACTGCCCAAAGGGAAGGAATAATATCATTGCATGTAGAGTCGTATTGATAAAGAAGCATTTTTGTTTTTTTACAATTTATTGCCACATGTTAACAGGTACATTAAATCAACCTGATGTTTACGTCACGGCAATCAACAATTGTTGTAGAAAATCAAAGCAGCGAGGATTATTTTTGTTTCGAAGAAAAACACGATGAAATAGTTTTAGTAGAATGAAGGTCATTGGTATCTGAAGCCCCCGTGGCGCAATGGACTAGCGTGTTGGACTTCTAATTCAAAGGTTGTGGGTTCGAGTCCCACCGGGGGTGGTTTCTTTTTTTCCTTTGGCATAATATATGACTGTTTTTCCTTACTTGGATGTTTCGAATCAACTCGAAATGAATAAAATCACAAATTTAGGAATTGTTCATTTCGTCACCATTACTTAACTCTTTGGAGGCAAATTCCTTTCCTAACTTAAGCATATAGAGACTCGTGTGGACTCTCCCATTTACATTTTAGGTCGCGCTTCGGGTCTGAATGATAAGCAACCCAAAAAGATTATTTCTGTGGCGGTGAAGGCGCTGAAGGACGAAGCGTCCAAGGAACAGAAAGAAGAGTTTTACCGAGAAGTAACTCTGATGTCCATTCTTACACACCCAAATATTGTTCAGCTTCTAGCTGTGTCAACCGAGGAGGAACCTTATGGAATGCTGTTTGAGTTCATGAGTGGCGGGGATTTGAAGCAATATTTGAGGAATGCACTACCAGTGGAAACATCGCTTGAATCCAGCGAGAAAGGGAAAGGTAGGTTTTGCCATTGACCCAGTCGAGGGAATGGAGCAAGCTTACCATGTCTTGCGTAGAGGTGTTGTTTAAGAATGCAAATGTACCACAACTCTAACGCGATATATATGATTTAACGCCAACTTCAAACGCTCGGTAATTTGCGTTTTAGTAACTAGACATGCTGCGTTCACGTTGCGCTAAATTAATGGGACAATACATTTGTGATTTTCGCCAGCGAGCCACACATCAAAGCTAGTTTTGCTCTGGTCTAGTGACTTCACTGCGATAGAAATCTTTGTCTATACCGGTATGAATTTCGAGATTTAGGCAATCGAATTTCCGGTTTTCGTACTAACTCTTATTCCCCGTGATATAATTGTAATCTAATAGGTGATCAAATTGCTTGGTATACTTTTGATGCACACATAGTGGCAACAACTCAAAACCGGCAAGAAAAACTGAAGAACTTGCAAACGGTAGATCTTCAACTTAACTGTGCCTTCTTGTCTTCTTTTTCGTCAGTTTATCTCTCTCAAGAATCCCTTGTGTCTGCCGCAACCCAGATCGCTGCTGGCATGCATTATTTAGCCGAGATGAAATTTGTTCATAGGGATTTGGCGACTAGGAACTGTTTAGTTGGAGATGACTTCGTTGTGAAGATTGGAGATTTTGGAATGTCACGTGATATTTATACTACAGATTACTATAAGGTATGCTAAACAAACAAGTTTTCTTGTAGAGAAAGATGTTTTCTCATCTTGTCAAGAGCGTAGGACCAGCAAAAAATTCTGAGTTGAATCGAATTGAACCTCACACCTTCGAATCCCGCACTTCTATGCTCTACCACTGAGCCACGGAGACTCTATATTGAGCAAGGCACATTAGGCAAGGCACACGAAGTTTATATATGACATGGGTCCTGCATACTACTAGGATCAGCAATGTCATTAGCGTCATATTTTATTTATAGAATAAGAAAGCTGTTTAGATTTGAGCTCGTTAAAGAAATAGAGAGAGTTACAGTTGTTAGACGGTTTCAGCTAAAGCGTTTACATCCGCGTTAATACCCAATCCAGATCGTGTGATGATTCATTCACGAGGATACCATTGTTTTCCCTTTATTTTTCTTTAACCAGAGATGTTTGTCAAATTGCACATTTTAAGCATCCCAAAGGAATCAACGT